GGGGGGGGGGAAAGGGATGGATCAGTGGACATCTACACTCAGATGTACATGTTTGCATCTACTCATCCACTTTTGGTTAGGAGCCTGCGAGTCTAACCAATAGTCCACTGATACACACCATATTTTCTGAGACACGTTAGTGTGGGACTGACAATTAAGCTTAATTCATGTAGACTTTCTTGGTAATGTTGCTATCTGGATTTAACAGAATGCGCAATGGCAGCTCACGACCTTGAAGGCTGAACTGGATGGTCATTACACGTCAACTTCTGGGTCAGAGATGACCCCTCTAGGTATTCCAGGTAAAGGTGTGTATCTTATTTATACTTACTAATCTCATCCCACAGAACTTCAACCCATCCAACCCTTACTGCCAGGGTGTCGGGGGCATACTTCAGGCTTATCACGCTGCTCTGCCCAGGCTGCAGCTGTATGGACCCACCAACTTCTCCCCTGTCATCAACCATGTCAGACGGTTTGTTGCTGGCTCTTGTGTTGTTCTGTCTGATGAGTTACACTTGCAGGGGGTAGGGGAGGGGTGTGGTAAAGTGAGGGGGGGGGGTTGTGATTGGGAGGTTGAAGGTGGTGGTGTGGGGAGAGGGGAGTATGGGTGTAGGAAAGGGGGGTAGGGGGTAGGGGAGGAGGGGGTTGGTGGTGTTGGAGGGGGGTAGGCAGTAGTAGTGTGTGGGGGAGGGTAGTGTGGAGGGGTTGGGGGGAGGGTGATGGTATGGAAGGTTCGGTGGTGTGGAGGGGTTGCGGGTGGTAATAAAGGAATAGAGTATAGTGGTGTCGGGAAGAGGGTTAGGGGGTGGTAGTGTTGAGGGGAAGAGGGTGGTGGTGTTGGGAGGTCTGGTGGGAGGGTGATTGTTGAAGGGGTTGTTTTTTTCTTTTTCTTTTTTAAACTTTAGCCTACTATGTCAACTACCCCACAAGATTAAGAAGCTTTGATGATTTCAATGTAGTCACTTGAAAGTTGCTGAAAGGACTTTCTTTTCAAAGAGGGAAAAAAGTATGAACTGAACAAGGCTTAAAATGTCATTGTAACGACTATATCATTTTCTGCCAAAGACCACAGTCTGAAACCAGGTGACCCCACGTCCTTCAATCGCAAATATCTGGACTTCTATTTAAGATAAATGAGTATGCTTTTCATCGAAAACGATACAAATGAACAAGCTGCAAGACGCTACGAATATCTCAATATGCCCAAAAATTGACGAGCGCCTGATTCCGCCTCGTCTTGACACATATTTTTTTCCTTCAGGTTTGCCCAACAGAGTCGTGACGGCAGCAACTATTTTGTCCTCCTCATCATCACAGACGGAGTCATCACCGACATGCCGCAGACAATGGATGCCATTGTGGAGGTGGACATTGTTCTGTTTGGAATACATTGCTCAAGACATTTTATCAAACCATAAATACGGATGGTTGACGGGTGCTTTGGTGTTGTTAGCTTCTTCTTTCCTGTCAAACATCTATCATCTTTATCTCTCCTCCTCTTTTTTTGTGTTTGTTACTCTCTTGTAACACTTCTAATCTTCAGCATTTGTATTACCTGATTGTGTTGCAAATGCAGTAAAAGGTTAACTAAAACTAAAACTAAACCCTGGATGTTATTGTGACTGTAAGCTTGGTTTTATTTTATATGCTTCACTTACATGCCACAGGCCATAGACGCTATTGTGGAGGTAAATGTTGCTTTGTTTTATACACAGTGCTCAAGGTGCTTTTTTACTAACTAAATTGATTTGTCATCATTCAATGAAATCCTAAACTGAATAAATGTTGGGGATCCCTTTTGAAAATTAAAGAAATTCAAAACTGACCTACAGAGGAGTCCACTTAAATCAAAATCTGCAGGACCGCTGGATTTTCTTCGATTTAGCTGGGTTTTTAGTTTGAAGAAGTGGCTCAGTCAGAAGAAGAAAAATTGGGGATTATATCAGGTACAATAATGATGTTCTTTCAAGGCTTACAGTCAGAATTGGAACCCATATCTTTTGATAGCAAATCTTAGACAGATAAAATAAGATTACAGTGGACACCATATATAACAGGCCCTGTAATAACAGGGATTTTTTGAATCCCCGTTTTTTCCTACTCTTTGTCTCTATTAAAAGTTATCGACAATAACAGGGCCTCATCAGAGCCCAATCGGTTATAGCAAGGACAAAGGCTCGTTAACAATGTGGAGAGAGAGAGAGAGAGAGAGAGAGAGATAGAGAGAGAGAGAGAGAGAGAGAGAGAGAGAGAGAGAGAGAGAGAGAGAGAGAGAGAGAGAGAGAGAGAGAGAGAGAGAGAGAGAGAGAGCCCACACAAGCCACGCCACTGCAAGCACACGCAGCGGTCAAGTGAGAGAGGGCTGCGATGTGCTGCAGACTTCGATATAGCCCTAAGCCTAGCCAAAATCCCTGTTCGTGGGTACTTGTGGCAAGGGAAACTACCCATGAATGTTCAGGATTAGTCCACAAATGCTTACTTCCGTTGTATTTATGATTTAACAGGGATCTGATATAACAGGACCTTTTCTCTGGTCCCACCATCCCTGTTATGTCAGGTTTCCACTGTATAATTATTTGTTCCTGTCGGAGACTTTTACTGACTGCACAAGAATGGTAAATCACATACACATAAGATTCGCACATTACACCCTAACTCGCCCGGAGTTGCCCGCTCCGACCAGGCGTCTCTAGAAACGAAGTCTCGCGAGACTCTGTGGCCAAGATTTTGTTTTACATAGTTATTGCAAAATGTTTCTTCTTTCGTTCAATACCGAAACGAAATTTTTCTCGTAAGTAATTTTAGTATTAGAGCCGCTCAAAGTGCGATCGCATTTCTGACATTTCGAAAGTGTCTTGACTTGTTGAAAAGCAACACAATTGAGTTTGAAAAAGGAAATAACGATGAATTTGAGCAAGAACGAACAAATGACAAATCAGAAGAATTAAATATTGATGAAAACATTGTAGCAAGAGTTTGCGGCGATTCAGATTAATCAGATGAAGAATTTAGATCTAGGGCCCGACCGCGAGGCTGAGAGTGGGAGTGATGGGTCGGACATCCCGTTTGAATGAAGTTACATTTCCAACAGTTTGTGCATACACAAAGTTTTTTTTTTCTGAAACTATATTCATTTCTCTTTCTAATTTTTATTTTTTCAGGAATTAAGAAATTTGTTTAGTATTTTTTTAATGTGTTATTTTAACGCTTGTATTCACATGAAGTGGGTTCCTTCCTCTTGCTTAGGATTTGGGGGTAGACTTCCCGTCCAGACCCATAGGTTGTAATGTGTTAAGATTGTATTTTAATTTAAGAATTTCAAAATGAACAGTAAAATAAAGGCTGACCATGATGTCGCATTGCCTCAGATGCATTTCTCTAACCACATGCCGGAATTTATCACAGAAATTTTAGGGGGCTCTCGTGGCCTAGAGGTTAAGGTGGTGGCCTCACGTTCAAAGGTCCCGGGTTCGAATCCGGGTAGCGACTGAAAAATTTTCTTCTCTAAAATTGTCTCCTTTCATCTCCTTTCCTGCTCTCTAGCAATGTTCTGTCGTCTGCTTTCGGCCACAGGAATTTAAAAAAGTTATGAACAGTATAGCATGCACAAAATAAACATGCACACAGCAAACCACTCACATCATGAACAGATTTTGTTGAAGTCCCAAATTTGTTCTTATTCATGTATATTCTTTGTATTCCAAACATGTGCATTGTGAAATTAGTACGAAATGATTTCCACATCCTGCTAATTTCGCTATGTGGGTGCTATACTGTAAAATATATTCATATGTGTGCTTACATTTTTCAAAAAATCAACAATACACATTACTGTTCATTTCGAAAGCAGTCTTATCGCAGATGGTAGGAAACTTCTTTTGTATCTTGCTTTGCCTCGTTGTGGCTGAGCAGCGACAGAATGCCAGTATTGACAAATGTTGTTTTTGGAGCCAACAGAGTTGGTGCCCTTGTGTGAGGAGTTTTCCTTGAATGGCTAGTGTTATCTTGTGGGATTTTTTGTGTTGTATATCCTCGCCCAGCTGTTCAAATTTATTAGGCCCAGAAAGCAAAATTTTACAGGAGAGAGAAAAAACTGTTTCATTCCTTAAATAATTGTACCTACATTATGTAGTTTTTCTAGCTTTTTTCAACATTCAGAACTTGAATTTCAACAAAATATTTCTTGAGCACATGCAACCTACATGCAATAACAAAAATATTCGAAATGCTGGGCTTTGTACATTTTTTCAGCTTGCGGACGTTATGTTAGATCTAAAAAAGATTTTATATTTTGTTTTGTGATAGGCTGACTGTCTGAGTATCTCTGTTCTGTTCCTCAGGCCTCAAGTATGCCAATGTCAATCATTATCATTGGGGTAGGAGATGCGGAATTTGATGGTAACTATGTTTTGATCTATTGTACTTTTATTTATATATTTTTGGTTAACTTAGTGTAGCTCTACTTTATTGAAGTCAAGAGACACGCCTGCATGCTGCTCTCTTCCACTAGTGAAAAATTGTCGATGTATTAAGTTCAATTCCAATTTGGGGGCTAGAATTTTTGTTAGTCTTCATAGATGCTCTCAAAATGCACCTTTTACTGTCTTTTACAGCGATGGATGTTTTGGACGCCGACGACTGCCAGCTGAGGTCACCGGTAACGGGCAAGGTTGCAGAACGAGACATTGTCCAGGTATATTACAGAGCTCCCAATTACCCGCAGAAATCCAGAAATCCAGATTTATAAAATTATCCGAATGTTGCACTATATGTAAAAATAGTCTTTATGCAGATCTTAATACAGTCCATGCCGGCGTTAAGCACGGTCATCGGGAGAAAGCTTAAGCGCGTTTAAAGCCGAAGCGTGCTTAAGTGCGAAGTAGACATAATCCAGAGATTTTCATGTAGAAAATTCCCCGTGCTATTTCCCTTTGTTTGTAAATAGGCTTATAGCGGTCCCGCAAAAGTGTGCACTGTTATTTAGACACCCGCCATGGTAGTTTTTGTTTTTGTTTTGTGGTCGAATGAGAAATGAAAACTTAATTTAGATGGCCAGTCATGATACAGCACACTAGGCCTACTGTAATACACTGCTTGTGCGTACCACTGCCCGCTGTGCCACTCATACCACTGCCTTCATCCCACCTCGCGCGTGATACACAATCAGGATTAATGGATATCGTCTCCCCGACTCTCTTTGTTTGTTTTTTTTGGTCGTGTGTAGCTTTGCCCTAGTGTGTGCATCTGTGTGCGGCTGTGTGCATCTCTCTGCCTTCCTCTCCGCCCGTGTGAGTGTGTTTATCCATCACTTGCGTTCTTTATGTTTCTCTTGACACACTCCACTGCTGCGGTGTAAACTGTGTTTGAACTTCAATGGGTCATCATGAAAATATTGACTGTCTTGTAAATGAAGCGTGCTTGAAGCCGAAGTTACCGTGCTTAAAGGCGTGTAATTTATATAGCAAAAATTCGGTATGAGCCGTTTAGCGTGCTTTAGTCCGAAACATGCTTAAGGCCGGCGTGCTTAAAGCCGGTACAGACTGTATGATGTGTAAATTTTGAGTCCCTGTTTGAGAGTTTCCACGGGGTCAGGACTTTTCTTCAAAGCCAGTTGGAACCACTGATATTAGTCAAGTCTTTCCTGGACCATATCTTTAATGTCTATTGAAGTTCTTGAATGGTCTCGTTACGTCATATTCCGGGTATAGTAATAATAATGATGAGAATAATAATTTTATTTATTTTGCGCATATCCTTGCTTTACAGCATGCTCTTTTCGTTTTAGTCCATTATTACCCCACCGGTCCTTAGAAAACCCAGAAACATTCCTGGCTTTCTGGGAAGCATACAGTTCATGCTGTGGCTTACCTGTGCTAAGACACCCACAAACTGACAAGATCTTTTGTGGTAGGACTTCTTTTTGCTGGACAAAAAGCAAATGAACACATCACTGTTATTAGTTTAGGCTAACCAAATTCTATTGTATTGTTCATACTTTATAAAGAAAAATGGGAAAGGAAGAGTCAAGGAGAAGGTGAGATGGATCAGACATATGACAGGAAACTTGATGACTATTATAACCTGGAAAGACAATGAGACGGTACACTATATGGTTATTATAAGAGGAACCTTGGATGGCAAAAACCCACCCCCAAACTTCGTGATGGAGAAAGATGAAAGCAGATGTCTCAAAACTGGCCAGAACTTTATTCACCCATTCGTGATTACAGTTACCACTTTGTGCGAAAGTAAGTGCATGGAGTTGGCATGACCCTCTGCGACATTTTGGAGAGAGCAACGGAGCATCAATGGACAAGTCTGGAATGCAGGGATGTTGCTTCCTGAAACAATGAACAATGAGTTGGCTTGATACAATAAAGGAATCAACGGTAGCTTCATGAATGTGGCCATACCTTTTTGACATTGAATTTTCTTCAAAAAGGTGGATGTATGAAGTAGGGCTGGTCTTTGTTGTCTTTTATTTTACATGCATGTATCGGCTGTTTCTGTTTTGAGTATGGTTTTGTATAACATCTATGGACAGAGTGTCACTTTGGTCCAGTTATGTCAACAGACTTGTCCTGTCACAAATGAGTTTAGTAGCAGCAGGGTGTACATTTTAAACAATGCACGCCTGACTGAATGATTACCAGTGTCTGTGGTATAATAACACTTAAGGGCTTCGCTATGGCACAGTCGAGACTCGAGTTTGATTCCGGAGAATTTTTTTCCGAGTATCTCAGTCTTTTTGCTGAGACTGAGATGTTGTATACCTCTCAGCTTGGGTTGGCCGAAACAGGCAGGATCAGAGTGCAGCCTCCTAAATGATCTAAATTATGTCAATGAGGGCCTAAAAACACCTACATTTAAAAAACAAAAAGTTAATGTTTATATTATTTTATTTTGAATCTTTGTCTTTGTGATCTCACAGTTTGTTCCATTCCGGGACTTCATCGGTGGACGCTACGGCGCAGACATGGGGGTCAGCAAAGTGTATCTGGCTAAGGAAGTGCTGGCTGAGATCCCGGAGCAAGTGGTGGGCTATATGAAACGTCGTGGGCTCATCCCGAAGCCCGCCCCACCCACCACGGCCCCTGCCCCTTCCATGGCTCCTCCACCTGGCTACTCGGCCGCGACTGCTATGCCAGGACATCCTCCCCCACCTAGAACAGTTACAGAGATTTAGTACAGTAGATTTTATTAATAGATAGGGGAAAAAAAGAGGTTGAAAGTTCTACACCCAACTACTTTGTTATCTCTTCTCTGTGTTGCTCAAAACAATCAAAGTCTGAGTGTTCTACACCCAACCTGATGACTATCTCTTCTGTGTGTTGCTCAAAATAGTTGAAATGGATGTGATGCAGAAAGGATTTCAATTATTGACTTTGAATAGATTTTATGGAAAGGAAGAGAAGTTCAAACTTTGTACACTGGACTTGTTTTATACCACTCCTGTGTTATGATCGGTAACGATGAGTGTTTTCTTTCAGCTCAGTGGGCAGAATGACATCAATGACCTCTTTTTTTGTGGTCTGGTCACAGTTTTTTTTCTCTGTCCCTTTCAACAAGTTTTTTGGGGAGGAGACGGTTTTGCAGAGACATTGAAAAATATTGCTCTAGATTCACTATGAACAGTCAAGTTTCAATAAAGACATTGAACTGCACATTTTCAGGAGAAGAAATGAACTCTAATTCATAGGTGTACTAGATGCTAAGGTATAAAAGTCTGAATGTGCGTCAAAGTTTCAAGGTTTATTTTCTTAGACTCGAGTCTCATTTCGACTGGTTGCGCTGTATAAAGAACTTGAGCTTGTTAGAAACTGCTTCATGGCTTGTTTGACTTGATTTGGCATATTAATAGTATGCTTCATTTGTTGGGTATGTTTTGAATTTTTTTCGTTTTTGATGATGTATTCAGATGTTCACAATTTAAAAGGTTTTTTTACTAAGGTTTTAGAGCATTTTTTCATGTTGATACTGTTCCTGCCAGTCATAAGTGAACACCGTGTTGACTTTTTTTTTTTTTACCTTGAACCCTCTTTGAGACAAGTTCCCCTTCTCATTTTATGGTTTGATAAGTTATGATGAGAGTAAACTATGGGACCTGGTGCTCATATTTATGGCAATAACTAAAAATGTTATATTTTGTGACTTGGATCGTTTTTCCATTCTTGTCTTCAAATTCTTCCTTACACAATGGAAGGTTTTTGTACAGCTGGCTACTGGGATTTTTAAAATTCCTGCATGCTTCTGGGGAAGCAGAGACTGTTTCTTACTTTTCTAAGGTCAGCTGGTGTAATAATGGTTGTAAAGCATATAGATTATGAATATGGGCTATAGAAATGATGATAGGCCTAGTAATAATAATAATTATTATTATTTCTTCTGCATTCAAGCAGCTGTTGAGACATTTACGATTTTCTGGTGTGTAGGCAACAAGTTGTCTGTTTTAGGTAGGTTTGCTTCCCTGATCGTCCCACCAGGTTGTCCAAAACTATTTGAGCTGTTGTTGGTTAGACTGAGAGAGCCAGAGTCTGTGGTATAGAGGTCATTGCATGCAAAAGATGTGAGTTCACTTCTCATGTGGGGAAGTTTTGTAGCGAGTATCAGTCTGTCTGCTGGGGTGTTGGATCCCTTACAGCCTAGATTGGCCTTGACTTGCAAGGTTGAAGCAGCCACCCGAAGGACATCGCAAGAGGGGCAGACCCAAGGTGACCTGGAGCCGCACAGTAGAGTCTGAAATGAAGTCCTGGAACTATTCGTGGGGGACGTTGACCAAGATGGCCCAAAACAGACAGAGCTGGAGATCCTTTGTTGCTGCCCTAAACGCCAGATGACGTAATGGGTAGTAAGTAAGACTGTGTGGGTGTGGGTGTAAAACATCTACTACAATTTTAAATACAGAAAAAAGGTATAATGCTAAGGTCAAACTTATGAAACTTTTTATGCTGGCTGGAACATGAGCTCGGTGGTCAGTCTGAGCTGATAGATACCAGTGGCCTTTCTTCTGTCCACGCACCTGGTTGGTCAGTATCGGGTGTTGTGTCTCCAACGTCCATTTGTCCAGGTGGTCCTGTGATTGGGTTTTTAACCTTTCAAGGTAAGCAGCCGGTCTAGATTGTTATTTTTAACAAGCACAGCTATTTGTTGATGTTAATGTGTTGTTATCTATAGGTTTTCCAATCTTTTAGGCCTTCGCTTTTTTTGTATTGATATTATATTGTAATATATTAATCTGATTTTCAGCTGCCTTGTTATGCTACATTTATGTGTCTTCTGTTAATTTCTGTTTTGGGTGCTTTTCTACTATACATGTCTTATATTCAAGGTGGTGTTACTGTCTCTCTGTGCTTTAACTGCGAAAAATTTGTTAAACAATTTTAAATTATTTCCATTCTTTGCTGTACCTTGATAAACAATTTGAACGATGTTAATTTGCTGGAAAGTTACCCAGAACTTATCTTTTATACTAGAGGACCTCTCTATATATATATAGTCCTAATTGTCCAAGACAGCCTCCCATTTTTGAAGAGAAAAGTTATTATGTTAGACAGGTGGACCTCTTGGACTGTTTCTTCATAAAAATGTAGCGAAAATGCAGGGGGAGGGGGGGGGGGGAGAAATAAGAAATGGTGATTTGAACAATGTGATTGTCTGTGAGAAGTCGCTGTTTTGTTGTAACCCTGGAGGAGTCTTGGACAGCTATTCGTTCTGTTGCAACCCTGGAAGCTTGGCTAGCGGTATAAAAATGGAGAGGGGGGGGGGGAGTTTGTCTTGGGGTTTTTTTTTGGTGCTACTTTTTCGCCCCTAATGAAATTTGTGTCCAATAATACTCATCCTTGTGTGGGTATATGTATATATATATTATATATATATCTTTAAAGCTGTATGGCTGTAAGCTACCCGTTTTTTCTACTTTCGTGATTGATTCCAGTTATGGCTATAGCATTTTCAAAAATCTGTCTGCTTGTCTGAGTACGGTACTTCCAAAAGAGCTTTTCCCACTGCTGGTATTCATTTTTCCAAGTTCATGTAAACATTTTTTTGGGAACAATTTGAATTTGAATCAGAGCCCCACCAAATTGTGTTTGATGTATGTCTTGAAAGTTATTTGCCAGACCCAGTTACATTTATTGCAGCTATTTCAGCTTTTTTATCAGGAGGACCCATTTTTTTCCATGTGTGGGTAGTTGGTGGGTGTTCTGGTATGGTTTGCTCCTTCTGCCCTATCAAACATCTATCTTCCATCTTTATAAATCTTTTCTCCTTTTTTTCTATGTATATTATTCTCTCATAACACCTCTAATCTTTGACACTTATATATGACCTGTTTGTGTTTCAAAAGCAGTAAAACTCTTACTAAAACTAAAACTTATTTCTCTGACAATGAAAAGTCTATGCCTATAGATCAGTTTTGTTTTTTTGTGCCAGAGGTTGTGTTGTGTATACTACACTGACTGAAAGATAAAACAATACTTGTTTGACGAAAAAGACCAAAGGTGGAAATTCTCAACATGACGAAAGGGTCCATATTATGCTGATGCACCCTCTAACTCTAAAGCCTATTTGGCTTTCATGACTGTTACTTTGGGGATGTCAACCCATTCCGTAGTGAAGTTACAGCACAGTGCGATGGTGGTCCATGTCTGGAGTGGCCACCATAAAGACTGGAGGAATCACCAGTAGGGTCAAAAGAATCTGCCTTGGGAGATGAAAATGTGTGCATAATATATATGACTTAAGATTTCTGCACGTTTTTTTGTTTGTATTTTTGGGGGGGGGGTTAAAAAATTATTATTTTTATAAACTGCTTATGGTTTACAGATGCATTGTACATATTTTTTCCCCTTCTATTAGAATCGACCAGTGATGGTTTTGGTGTTTATCATTGTTCAAATGAGAGTTGATATATCTCTTTAATGTTACGCAGTATGTGTGTGCTTTTTTTAACATTCAATCTAGGGTAGTGACACAGTATTAGTACTACTTTAGCAACTAGCGTAGGTGAGCTTTCTTTTATGATCACTGTTGATGACTTTGTGTGTGTGTGTGTGTGTTTGTTTGTTTTTGTGTGTATGTGTGTCTGTGTTGTGTGTTTATGTATGTCTGTGTCGTGTATGTGTGTTTGCGTGTTTGTCTGTGTTGTTTGTAGGTGTGTGTGTGTTCGTGTGTCTATATTGTTTAGTGTGTGTGTGTGTTTGTGTGTGTGTGTGTGTGTGTGTGTGTGTGTGTGTGTGTGTGTGTGTGTGTGTGTGTGTGTGTGTGTGTGTGTATTTGCAGTGTATTTGCTGACATTGGAGGGAGAGAGAGAGAGGGAGAGGGAGGGAGGGAGATATTTTTTTTAGCTTTACTCTTTGCTAAAATATATGTTTCCATTGCACCACTGCTTGGGTTAACTCACATTTATTGTACATATACAATATATTTCATATATATATATACATGAGTGTATATTCCAGATAATCCTTTTTGCCAAGCCATCCTGGGTTTTTTTCAGCCTCATCCAAGAGAGGTCACTGGGACTGGTAGAGGCATGTCTTTGAAGGACCTAGATATTCTTTGAAACTGTGTAATATATTTTTAGTCGAAATCATTTCAGACGGCTACCCAATGTCGAGGAAAAATTGGTTGTCTTAGACATGTGGATGTCTTAGACAGTATCCATATAATGTAGAAAAAACACAAGGGGGAAAAGTTGAAGTAGCTATTTATACAGGTGATTGTCTTAGACAGGTGGTGGCTGTTAGAGCAGGCATGACAGTATTTCTCCATTGATTAGAATTATATTGAGATTGATTTTTACTGCTTCTGATAGTTCTGCTCACTCACCTGTGGATTATGACTGTCCTAGATGTTTTTTTCCTCTTACTCTCGTACTTATAAATGTATGTCTCTTACTCTCGTACTTGTAACTGTATGTCTCTTACTCTCGTACTTGTAACTGTATGTCTTTTACTCTCGTACTTGTAACTGTATGTCTCTTACTCTCGTACTTGTAACTGTATGTCTTACTCTCGTACTTGTAACTGTATGTCTCTTACTCTCGTACTTGTAACTGTATGTGTTACTCTCGTACTTGTAACTGTATGTCTCTTATTCTCGTACTTGTAACTGTATGTCTTACTCTTGTACTTGTAACTGTATGTCTTACTCTCGTACTTGTAACTGTATGTCTCTTACTCTCGTACTTGTAACTGTATGTCTTTTACTCTCGTACTTGTAACTGTATGTCTCTTACTCTCGTACTTGTAACTGTATGTCTCTTACTCTCGTACTTGTAACTGTATGTCTTACTCTCGTACTTGTAACTGTATGTCTTACTCTTGTACTTGTAACTGTATGTCTTACTCTCGTAGGTTTTTCTCAGGACACGGCACATGTTTTAACAACTCGCTCATGTCTCTCTCGGGCTACTGGCATC